TTAGCAGCCTTTAAGGGTCTCCTCTGTGGATTGTAACATGACAACGTTACCTGTGGCACCAGTGCCCAACCTCCCCCCCCCCCCCCCATCTCCTTTCCCTATCTCGCTCCCACTCTTCTCCGTTGCTCGTCCCCCTGGCTGACATTCTCTTCTCTCACTTTTAATTGCACCCCCGGGGCTCTTTCTGGGTTGCTGTGGAAGTCTTTGGCTCAACGGGCGCGATAGGGTGCTTTGCCGTGTCGCTCATATCTCTCGTTAGGGAAAAGAAAATAAAAACAGAAAGAGAAGAGGGGGGGGTAGAAAGGGGGGAGAGGACAGATGTAGGCCTACTCCGAGAGGTCACTCCCAAGTCTAGATTAGGCTAAAATAGCACCCAGGCCTATTTTGTAACAGCACATGTGCACTGGAGAGGCCATTAGCTGGCCAGATCCGATATGTATTGACAAATGCATTTGTGTGACTCTCTGCACGCCTGGCTCTATCTTCGTGGCCCTGTGTTCGATAAAACCAATAGATACATTTAATAGCTAATTGTCCAGATTCAAAATGTTATCCCAAGCAATTATTTGAGCGTATAATCATGGGGCATTTGAATATTGGCAGCATACACATTAATCTTGCTTACCCAGGAGCCAAGCACAATGCAGTATCATTGCTCGATGGGCGACTCCACACAATCTGTGACAGGCAATTTAAAGCAATTTACTTTTTTCATTTTTTCATCAAGCACTTTTTTTTAATGCAATTAAATGGCACATGATATGAAGCGAAGACGGGGCAGGCGAGAGAGCGAGACAAAGAGAGAGTGAGCGTGTGTGTAAAGAGGGAGAAAATAAAGGCAGCCTTGTGCTTGTTGTAAACACTGCCTCTTAACTGGGAGAATATAATTATGGTGTCATGTTCTATTACACACCTTCATTATGACGATGGTGCTCCCTGAGAAAGTGAACAGGGACTGACAAGACCTGTGGCTCCTTTTCAAAAATCCCCTCCAGCGACAGGGATACATGGAAGATGGCTCTGCGACAGAAACGCAATCACTTTTCCATGTCACCTTCTTTACAAATCGTTTTACTCTTGTTTCTATTTCTTTAAAGGAACATTCAGGTTTATAGGTGTATGGTTGGTGGTTATGTTCCATTGGTTTAAGTAACATCACGGCACCACCACGACTGACTTTGCAAGGTGTATTCAAAGGAACAGAATGCCAATGCAGAAATGTCAATAATAATCAGTAATACAACTTTGCCATTAACTGCAGTAATTACAAAGGTCAAAGTTGAACCAGGGCTTCAGTCTATGAACTGTCATGGATGCCTAACAGATTATGTTTCTTCTCCAATGCAATGTTGACTGCTCGTGTTTCATGACCTTCTGTCACCTAACCACTGTTTCTAAGTATTTATTGTTATCATTAATTTAGGTGATACACATTTTGCCATGGAAAGCGTACACGAGCACTACAAAATAGATCAAAGTCCTAAAAAATTGGAAATCCTCGCTCTGTCTTTCTTCCGACTTCACTCTCATACATCACAAATATAAATAGGCAGGCATTTTGTCGTAGCCAATGGGCTACATGTGGCAGCATAACATTCTTAACCCAATGTGACATTTTTTGACGTAGCAAAATAAAGCTTTAGCTGACATACTCGTGGTCCATGTCAAGAGCATTATCAGGGCAGGAGGCTGTACAATATGGCTTCCAGGGTATGACAAATGTGGTCAAGGGGCGAGCACTCCTTAGGGACGGCAAAGCCTTCCATACAGTGAAAGCATTAGCTTTCCACAGTGACATTATGAAGAAATCTATTGAAAAGGCCGACTTCCCAACTGCTGGGGGACTCGAGGTAGAAAGCTTCATGAGTCCACCCAAGAGACCGACTGGTATTTCCAACTGCGCCGAAGCCTACAGCAAATCAATAGCTCAAAGTCCCACATGCTCTCACCAGCGTCAATTAAGTAAATTCATAAAGTCGAGTGCACTGGGAGTTGAGGGAGGAGAAGGAAAAAAGGGAAAACTAGAGAGCGAGAGCAGGAAAAAAGCATCCAGTCATGTAGCAGATTTGGATAGGAAACAGAGCTTCTGCCATGAGAGTTGTGGCTTAGCGAAAGTGGAGAGTGGTGGTCTAAAAGAGACTATTTCTCCACAGGCATTATTAAGAAGCCTGACAGTCCATCTCACTTTCACCTGCCTCCATCAGCACACGCACTGTTGACCCGGGAGTCTTTCCCCCCCACTTGCTGAGCCAGGCAGAGGACACATGCAAAGTGACTGGCTTTCAGCAAAAAGCCCAATGATAATGCATATCAGCTCAGGCCTATGCAAGCAAAGTAGGCAGGGGCAGGGGGATGGGGATGGGATGTGGCGACGAGAGGGGGGGGCGCGCGCTATAAACTGCAACGCATGAGGTAAAAGAGAAAGATGGGACCTAACCCTCAGCTTCAACCGCTCACAATGTGCCTCATAAGGGGAAAGCAGGGCATGCCTTGGCTGCCTCTGGAAGACAGGTAGCGTAATGGATGGGCCAGTCTCCCAGCCTGACTGCTGACGCTGCTCTGACAGGACGTTTCTACCTCTCCTTCACTCCCTCTCTCCCCGTTTGCCCCGTAGTGTTGTCACGGTAACTACATCTGATTTCAAGAACTTTGCGTGTTGTGAATTTCTACCTGGCCGTCACATCTAGAGGGCATAAACAAACACTGCGATTGGAATTTGTTTAAAGAATAGACGAAGTGCATTGAGGCAGTTTGACGTGGACAGGTTTGGCCCAGAATCTACAAAGTCTTTCCAAGCAGACGTGCAATCATCCACTCTCGATACAAAAGCAGCATTGATGTTGTTGACTTAGGAGCAACTTGAACCACAACCAGTTGCGAAACTACAGAGGTAGTTAGGACTGTCAGCACTCGACTCAGAACTTGTACAATAGTAAACAATGTCTATCAAACATTGCTCTTTGATTTCACCTTTCCACCAGCTGTGTGAGGCCTGCAAACTGCCGCATTGTGAGGAGCGGTTTGCAAGCATCATTACATGAAGTTGGACTTGGTGCACTTAGGGATGGTCTTGTAGTCAAAGAAAACAGTCGCCATGAAACGGTGCCAGTTGAACAGACAGAGCCACATAGCTAAAGGCGGACACATTTATCGAACTCTTTATTGTGTTTTGAACTGAACCCTCCCGCAAACAGCTTGGCGAGAAATGAAGCTTCTGTATTTCGTTTTTTGAGCCAACAAAGACACCCAGCCGACATCAATACCCCCGTACTAAAGTTACTATAAAGCTTTCTCATTCAATGCTGGCAGACACCTGTTTGTAAAAAGGTTGTTCTGTGACATTGCTTGGCGGTTCGTCTTTATTTCTGTGGTCTCCGATTTTCAGATACTAAACTTAACGCTAGTATCTAAGAGAAAATTGTGGTATTGTGACAGGACTCCTGCTTCTACTCCCCTTCCTGCACCTTTCCTCTTTCTTCGCTCCACTTCCCTCACTCAGTCTGTCTGGCTCTGCATGCAGGTCAGGGTATTTAATTCATGTCCAGAAACATTGTTTCCTAATTCCCCGACATACTGTGCGAGGAAAGACTTGCCATACATTGGTGCTAGATTGCATCCTCCTCTCCCCCACACGCCCCCTCTCCCTCCACCCGCCTTCTGAGAGTGTGCGATACCGAGGAACGTTGCAGACGCTCCCCAGCGGGCCCACTGATAACCCTCCTACCAAGCCCCAGCCGAGGAACACTGGCGGCCTGGATATCTTCCAGCCGCGAGGAATAATGAGAACAAAAGCAGAATACACGGCCTTCTTTCTCTTTCTTCCTACCCCTCCTTCTCCTCCACCTCCGTCCTGCTCTGTTCCTCTTGTTCCGTTTCCTTCACATATTAGCCAGCGCGTTCTGCATTGGCTCAAAAGGAAAAGGAGAAATGATTGAGGGACGGAAAGCGGACAGATTCCACTGCTCACATCAGAGCCCTATACTCTGTGGTTTGCAAACAGTGATTTTGTTCGCTATCTTTACACTGATGTTAAGGTAATAAACTGGAGTTGACATTGCCCCGGGTCTCCATTGGCATTCAGCTGGGTTTGATAACAAAGTGTGCCCAAGCAGATTGTTTAAAAAGATAGAACAGGCCGCTCCACGAGCCTTGCACTCTATTAGATGTTGGTTCAGGGGCTTAATGCAGATAAAGTAGCTCAACACGTGCTGTACAGGATGTAAGCCAATACATTGATGTGTAATATTTCTAATCTGATATTTATCAGGTTAGGCAGTACTCAGCCTGCCCATCAATCACTTGACTGACAGTCAACATACAGTACGAGTGTGCACATGAATGTATAGCAGGGCGGGTGTGGATGGGAATGTGTGGACGTGTGGCAGCAGAAAGTCAACCACTGAGATACAGATTTCAGATCAGCTCTCCAGCTTTGCCTTTATCTGTCACATGCCTCTTTTTCACCAGGAGATGATTACCCACATGTATTTGTCTATTTAACCCATTATTGATGTATTCTTTAAACAATGTATGTATTTATTTTTATTTGTTGATACATGTTTTACTCTAGGAAGGCTTTTTCGTGTAATAGTCAAATGTAATTCGTCCCCTTAGACCTAGCATTTTTTGGAAATATGTAATTGCAGAAACTAGGAAACAGTCTGAACTCAGAAGATGGAGACGGGAAAGAAAAGCATTTTTTTCTTATAGTGAAATACATTTTGCTTGATTTAATTTGATGATTCAATTGATTGCATTATTTCTTATTTAAAGTGTTGGTTCATGGTTAACTTATTATATACCTAGCCCTAACAATTTCATAGATACATCTCTATTGATTTCCCCTCCCCATCTTGACTTGGTCCTTACTGAATTTTACTGCATCTTCAGAAAGCCTGGAACACTGAGCTGCTTTTGAGTGCAGGTTAGGAAAGTACAGTAACGAACCACTGCTTCCCCTCCTGATACTGACACTCTGTTTTTCTTTGTAAATGTTCCAGGTGCTGTTTTTCCGCCCCATGTGACTGAGAGGAGCCTTCTCTGCTTCAATAGATTACAGCATGTGGACTGATCCGATACTCTGACCAAGAACCACTGGACATAGACCACTGCAGGGGGGAGAAGAAGGCTGTGGTGGTGTGGCCATGGATAGAAGGAGAGTTTGCGTATTGATGGTGCTGTGGGTTATGGCCCACCTCAGCTCTCCTGGTCACGGGCTCAGGGCCCTGCGGAGAACTACAGGGGGGCACAAGGGGGCCGCAGGACTGACGGGTCAAGACGCCAATGGAGTGCCGCTGAGGCGATCCAAACGTGGATGGATGTGGAACCAGTTCTTTTTGTTGGAGGAGTACACCGGGTCCGACATGCAGTATGTCGGAAAGGTAATTAAAGATCTTTTTTTTTCCTTTGTCAGACACACAGAGGACCTCAATGCCACATCAGTTTTACACCGAAGTATTATTACATCCAATAATCAAACAAAAGCACAGGGATAATAACATCCCACACCTTTGAGACATATTTAATTAGTCAGATTAATTAGCAAAACTGTGTTATTTTCCACAAGTGACCACAATAGTCTGTTGTCTCATGTCTACAGAATATTGTATCAGATCAGACTTTGTTCATTATTTGATGAGATGACTTCCTAATTCAAAATAATATTTTTTTTTTACTATGAACAAAATACTTCATATAACAGATCACATTGCATTTACTGAGAGTCAGGTGCCTGTTTATCAGAAGTGTCCCTGGGATCAGTTCTAAGTAGAAGAGTAATAAATAACAATGCATTAGATGAAAGAAATCTAAATTCTATTATGGGACCAATCCAAACCTGCTGTTTTCAGTTTGTTCAGAATGACTAAAGGAAGCACTGCGTATTTGATTTGAGCAGCTAACCATCTACTACAGTTGAAAGAAAAAGAAAGGATTGTCTCAAACTGATACTCAAACTGCATCATTAGAAACCCGAAGATACTCTCTGCGCGGTTTTCCGTTGCGAGTGAGCTCTATGAAGTCCATCTCACAAATTGTTAGTTCTGTAACACGGTGCATCAAATCTGCAGTCTCCCCCCCCCACAGTCTGAGTGCTCTCTTCAATGTTTGTTTATTCTTCTGGGATTTTTTTTCCTCGGAGCCACTGTCTACACAACAAAACATGAACTTTTCACATGCCGGCATTTGAAAAGTAGCTTTTTTAGATGATTAAAAAAAAAAATTCTCATTACAGTATGTAGTCTTATCGATACATATTTATGAAGTTCTACTATTTTTCCGTTAATCCAAATGAATGCAAATTTAACCAAATACTGCTTTATTTGCATTTTACAGTCCTAGAACAAACTGGATTTGTGATACACAATTTTTAAAGTTGATTTTTTAGCAAAAAGGGGGACAACCTAACTACCTGTGGTGCCTTTTCTTAGTAGCATAATGGATTCATGGATAATGTGTTCAACCTCTATTAAAGGAAAGGAATTGTTCCTAATGAGCTGCTTTAAAATAAATAACATCCTATTACTGTTTCATTCTGTCTCTGCAAATACAAGAATCAACCCATCATCGGAGAGTAGACATGACATGATACGCCGATCGGCTAATGCTCATGAATGGGACTTCCTTCCATCCATCCTCAGGCTTTGTTTGCTGTCGCCTGTCCGATACATATTGTGCTTGCTGTCATCTTTGCGGCTGCTTGCGTGATGTCCATTCCACTCACATCATGCCGTCCGAGAGCGGCTGTCTTGCCCGACAGTAAAATATGACTTCCTCCGAAGGTATTATTTGTTCAACAACATGAAAACATAGTGTCGACCCAGATAACATTGGGGAATGTACAAGAAGACGGGCCAGCTAATGCTTTACATGCAGCGGAGCGGAAGTCACGATATCAGTCTCCTCTCCCACCCTACTGTAATTGAGGAGATTGTGAAGCGTGGGGGCAAGGTCAGGACGAGTGAGAAAGGAAGAAAGGGGGTTTTGTGCGAGGAGTTGAATGGGGCTGGTGCTTTGCATTCCGATCGTGTGTCCATGGAGGATAGAGTCGTCCAACCAAATGAGATTCTGCAACATACGTCCTCCCAAAGTGAGGGTTGACTTTCAGCCCCTGTCTTAAAGGATTACAACGCTCAATATGGTATGAGGCGGGCAAATACGAGAAAGAACAAAAAAGTTGAAAAGAACAAAAAAAGAAGTGAATGAAGATCAGAAGTAAGTACCGAGCATGATCAAACCACTTCGTCTTCAGAGCACGCTGATTGATGTGCCACTCGTCCTTTAAGCTTGTAAAAGGACTAATAGCGAAAGAAGAATGGATTATCTGAGTGTGGTATACACTTAGAGAACCAGAGGCTTTGGCCTAAGAGTCCGTCTCCTGAAGATGCCATTAAGGCATCAACCTTCGAGCACCACACTTAATCATGACTCTGAACGCTTGTTGTCCCCCCCCCCCAAGTACATGCAGCTGGGAGCTTCTCCACAGTGTTAGCTCGCTAGCCAGTTGTCTCATAGGATTGTAGTTGGTGGATCTTATCTGATTGCAATTACTGTTTGTTAATTGCTTGATTAAGTACAAGTGATGAATAAGGCCCTAAACGGTATGAATAGCTTTTGAGTTGAACACGTGCCTCAACAAAGAGAACAACCATCTGCATCCATATCCTCAGGTGGAGGCCATATCCGCATCAAGTGGGCCTGAAGAAAAAAACAACAATACCAGAAACACAAAAGGGAAGGCTTTTGTCATTGCAAGTGACATCATTGCAACCAGAGAACACAGCAGGGAACAAAACCACTTTTGTTAGTGGAGAAAAAAATGAATTGGAAATAACACAATGGCAGGTTATTATAAACAAGGGAGCAGCTTTTGACACACAGTAAAAGATAGAATGATGAAACTACACTTGAATTACAACATCCCGTCTCCGGTTATTTGGTAAACTCAATCTCCCCCGGTTGCTTTTTTTCAAAGGCGTTATCGAGTTGTGAAGTGCTAACAAATGAAAGTTTAATCTTTCCTGAGCAAGCATAACAATGGCAGTTGGAACAGGAAGGAATTAAGGGAAGCGATCGAGATGAAGGGGAACAGGAGACTCCACCGGTGTCTTGTTGTGGAGCTGGTTGGCTGCTAATCTTGATAATCTTGCTGTATTGCCCAACAATTTATTTTTTTCCTGCAGGAGGGGGAATCGTACACTGCCTCTCATTAGCACGCGAGCTGCATACAGGCCTCCGAGGGTCCGCGCTGTCACTGGGGGAAGAGAATATTTGTTTATTTCATTATTTCTTACTTTACCAAAGGGCACACATCCACTGAAAATGGTTAATGGCCTGTGGTTTAGGAGTGTTTGTGCTGTACTATCATATCTCATAAAGTATTTACAGCCCCTGATAGGCCCCAGTGGTTCTGGGTCTGCCGGGTAGACTCTTCAACACAGTCCCTAGCAAGTGAGCAATGTTCTCTGAATGTGAACAAACACACCAGCGTGCACACACACACACACACACACACACACACACACACACACACACACACACACACACACACACACACACACACACACACACACACAGACACACACACACACGTCCGCCTCCAGTAATGGGCTGGAAATCAGAGGAAATAAAAAAGCGGCAGATGAACACAGACATAATATTCTTCCCAGTCCTGAATACTCAGCGGTTGAAGCGACCTGGGGGAAAAGACTCAAGCGTCTTATGGCAGCCGAGCGGAAAGGTGCAAGGATTGTTTGTTTTTGTTTGTTGGGGGGTGGGATGATTGTTGGTCTCTGTTCCCCCCCCCCACTACCAGCTGCTCACCTGGCATACCAGCTGCTCACCTTGGCAAAGAGGCAAGGAGTTTGCAATATGGCGCCGGGCTGGCTGTACCCGCGCCATGGCAACCTCTGCTGTCTCCAGCCGCGGCTTGGAGCACACATTGGCAGTGTTTGTTGATTAGGCGATAAGTTCCTGCGTGTGTGTTGGGAGGGGGCGACTTCAATTATGCTCTTCTCCTGCGACGTGTGAGCAGTGGAGGAAAGGGTGTGATGAGGTCATGCAGCGACGAGGCCCGGCAAACATCTGTCTGACAACGTTGCAGGGGGAGAGGCGATGTCGGCGCGAGATACTTCGACATCACTACAACATCTTGCAATTGTTTTCATGCTATCGCCTGCCCACTACTGTTTGAACACCCGTTGATTTTGACGGGGTGAGATTAATTCATTTCTTATCATCAAACAGCCAAGTTGGTATCTACCTTATGGACCCCATAGATAGTTTTCATGTAATTATACAATCTTAAAGGTCACCTACTGTGCAAAATCCACTTTTTTATTTATTTTATACAGAAACATGTGTCCCCCTCTGTGTAAAGAGATTCTGAAAATGTCAGGAAAAAATATTTGATAACTTTTTGTCCTGATCCATTTATATAAAAACCTGTCTGAATCATAACGATTTTTTTGGCTTATGTAGCCATTAGCCAATCACCAACCAAGGTAACCCCCCCAGCCCCCCCACCCTCCCCCCCACCTTATGACCTGAATCTTCTCCTAGAGCACCATTGTATTATTTTTAACCAAATCTCTCTCCGAGGGGCGTGGGAAGGGGCTCCTTATTTTCATCTAAAGTAACAGACAGAGAATCAGCACTTTGGAAACAGGGCTGAGACAGAGGGGATTATGGGATGCTACAATGCATGATATGTTTGGTATTTCGAGCCAAACACTTCAGAGACATGTTTTGTATAAATCTGAGAACTATAATATATTGATGAAAAAGAGTACAATAGGGGACCTTTTAAAAAACGACTCCAAAAAAGAAACAACAGTGAGGACACGACCTCAGCTACGGCCCTGTAGCAAAGTAAACAAACTGTTGAGAATTTCTTTTAATTAAAAGATAACATGCTGGAAATTATGTATGGCACAAAGAACTAAAGATGTCAGAGGTCCACAAAAGAGGAAATATATGTTAAGGGACATTTCACCTTTAAGTCTCTGCAGCTCTGATGGCATATCGCAAGTTTACACATCAATGCACATTTGATAGGCTATTTTTGTGCGCAGTCTGAGGCTACCATCTGGCTTCATAGAAGGCAGCCAGTTCTCGACAGGCCAGGACACAAGGCCTTAAAGGCTAACTGGCTAATTGCCCTTAGCAGCCCATTTTCAGTGCCATCTTTTGGGCCTAACTTGAGTGAAGAACAAATGGCGGCCAGATCGAGTCTGCACTAACATTTGCTGCACTTGAAGCTGATTAATTTCACAAACAAAGACGGCTCGCTTCTAAGTTCTCACGCACAGATGTCTGATGAGTACCACTTCACTACTGAGCCCACTTCAAACTGAAAGATGGAGCACATAGGAATAGAAATAAATATCTTCTACTGTGAAAAAATGCCAACCATTTGAAATCACTGCTGAGAAAGCTAATTGAGTGGAGGGTTTTGAAATATATAGCATTGTATTGATGATATAATGGTTTCAGTAAATGAACATTAGTTTGCTTCACAGCTGATTCACTGCCAAGACATATTTTGTAGACATGTTTGCCTTTGAGCCTTATTTTCCTAGAACTCCACTCATTTCAAAGAATCTCTAACTCAAGTTTCATGTTTGATTTTTTGAAAAAAAATCACTTTCTCTTGCAAAAGTTGTTTTTAAAGAAACAAGAAGAATATATTTAGATTACATTAGTTAGGAAAACATAATTTATGCGATTAGTGATGTAATTATCATGTAAATATGAAGGGACCACATCACTTTAAGAGTAGAAATGGGAAAAAGCTATTTGTCCCAAAATAAGACCATAGCAGCCCATTTAAACATCATTAACACACCGTGTCACATCTGTCCTCATTGTGTATGACTTCCTTTATGCTTTATGCTAAACTAAGCTTATACTGGCTGTAGTCTACTTTCTATAAAATATGAAAGTGGTGTAGTTTTCTCATCTAACAATCTGCAGGAAAGCTTTTCATTTTAGAAGATGAGGATATTGGGCCACTATTATAGACAGAATGACTTGATAAGATGGATTTTTCTTTTTTCGTTTCCTCTTTCTTTCTTTATAAAAAGACCAGAAGTCTCTGTGTTAATGGCTATAGCGTCATGCTCTCTGCCTTTTTTACGATTCGGTACCATAGGAGGGCAAAGGAGAAAAGGCTAGCTATTGATGTGCCAGAGCTTCTTGGTGACCATACTGAATGCACATGTGGCTTTCTGTTCTCCCCCTGTGACAGTTTAATTGTATTTTCGATATAAATTGATCAGAGGGCCATTGTGGATGCACGTTGGGCTCCCACATTGATTTCCGGGAGAGGTTTTTTTTTTCTGCTCTTAATTTGAGTAGAAGGGTTGCAGTAAATGTTCCTCACCAGCAAGGTGGGCAACTGGGAGGGACAGGGTCATTGCAGCGGGTGATGGAGTTCGATACTGCCTTGTAATATCCTTGAGGGGAACGAGGAGGAACTCTTGAGACCACAAGAACTCTCTGTTTCCATAGAAATGACAGTCGACACAGCATATGTCACACTGTCTATCTCACATCTCTGAAAGAGAGGTCTCGATGGTTATTAACTGAATTGTTGTGCCGGCTGAGATAGGCAGCTTGATAGACAATCATAGGAAAGGACATTGCAGCTATAACAGCGGGAGAAAGATAATAATGTTGAAGTGGATTGTTTTCAGCCAACTGAGTCTCTGTTGGAAGCACGTACTGTAAAGCAGAATGGTAAACAAATAAAAATGCGCAGGATATTCTCTTGGCTTGGTTAGACGGAGGGAATAAAAATAAAATGAGAGTTGTTGTGACCAAAATACAAGTGGTTTAATGAAACAGTGCGCCACTCCAGATCCTAATCCGAAAAGATACTGAAATTCTGTAACACACCCGACCGGCTCGGTGAGACAGACAGAGAAAGGAATGAAAACAGTCATTTTAACCAGCATTCAAGCAGGCGAACAAAATAGTGTTAAAGATGCTAATCCACAAAGCTGTTCGTCTCACGTGCCAGCTTTGCCCTGATATAACAGCATGAATTAGTAAAGCCTCCGAGCACCTGGGATGAAAAGCTTTTTAATATATGATGAGAAGGGAGACTTTGCAATGTGCTCCCACGTGACCCAGCTGGAACGCACAATATCCCCCCTCAGTCTGTCCACCGGCACAGCCAGAAACGCTTGTAGACACAAATATGCATTCGAACTGTCAAAATCAAACGCGGTGGCTCACTTGAGTTAACGAGGTGTCAACAGCACACATAGGAATCACGTACTTGTGCCCACTCGTCGGCGTAAACATTCGGATGGCCACGGTTTTTTACTTTGAAAACATGTAACCTCTTTTTGCCCTTTGCCTCCCCCTGCAATTATTACCGTGTCCTTGGTTATTAAAGAGGGGAATGGGAAGTGGGCAGGAAAGTAGTGGGAGGGGAAAATGACTGGACAAGCTTTTGATGAGTTCCCGGAGATAAATATGTTGGGGGGATTTGGTGGTGGAATTAAAATGTCAGCGCATGCTAAGCTGCTGTTCATGCAGAAAAAAAATTAAACAGGAGATGGAGAGAGAGAAAGTAAATAATAATGAGAAGCTCCACAGACAAGTGGACACTGGTGGTCCTCTGGCATGTTGGTCATGTTGCTGATCCATCAGGGATTGGCAGGCGGCGGACGTGAGCGCAGTCATGCTGGTACTTCACAGACTTCGACCCACTGGCATTCTGTTTTACAGCACTGTGAAAATGCCACGGTGGCCCTGCGGTAAGAAGCGTGATGACAACCTGAAAGTGCAATGCCAGTAAAATGCAACATAAATGCTCCGACTCTGTGTTTTCTGCTCGGCAGGATACGAATTTTCACAGATGACGCGATGACAGTTTACTAAAGATGATATGAATCTGTTAAACAACACCAAACACACTTATCAAAGCTGTCACTGCTTCTTTGCCAAGACCCAGATTGGTCAGATTGCTGATATGTGCACAGTGTATCAGAAATATTTAAGCGGGGAACTGTGATTTTACTTTGTAATTTGATTCTGTTGACATCTTTGGTACTAAGTGATTTAGGCTTAGATGTTTGTTTTTGTTTGCACTTCACTTCTCGGTGATCACCTGTCAATCAAACGGTGCAGCGGGTGCTCTGATATTTGTCTTTTTTCTTGGACTTTATGTAGATGAGGTTTCTGTTCACCGTGGCTATTTCTGCTCATAGCAATTTGAAGATATGTCTCTGGAGAGAAGCTAGCTGACATTTGGTGTTCATAAGAGCACATTAAGCAAATGTAAAAGCTTTCATAAAGTGAACTTTGAATCACTGTTGTGCTTTAACAATTAGCAATAGAGAGCTGCAAAGTGGAAATGTATTAGAATGAAAACGCCACAAACTGTTGCTTAAAATTGTTGTATGGTTCTGCAGGGATCATGATTCTTTTTTTTCTCCCCACAGCTTCACTCGGATTCAGATCGAGGAGATGGGAACACGAGGTACGTCCTCACAGGGGAGGGGGCCGGGTCTCTCTTCAGGATAGACGAGAAGTCTGGGGATATTCACGCCACCAAGAGGCTGGATCGGGAGGAGAAGGCCTACTACATCCTCCGGGCCAAGGCCGTCAACCGCTTCACCAACGAGGCGCTGGAGGGGGAGTCCGAGTTCATCATCAAGATCCACGACATCAACGACAACGAGCCGCGCTTCACCAAGGACCCGTACATGGCCAGGGTCCCTGAAATGTCTGACATCGGTAAGCTCTCGACGTATATTCCTGATAATACCATTCATTGACTTCTTTAAAGATTCAAGATTCAAAGATGCACAAAGCTACAGGGCAGAAATGGCAATGACATTCTTCTGACCTGAGCTCCTCCAACAATGCAACATATATAATAAAATACAAAATAAAAAGTAGTGCAAAAAGTCTGTATACATGTCAATAGAATATGGGATATGTACAAGAACAGAATATGAAATTAAATCATGTAAATTAAGACACAATTAAATACGGTTTATTCAACGATAACAAAGTAAGACAGTTTTTCCAAGGATAGAAAAATAATTATACTCTCAATCTGTTTTATACCTATTGCACATCTATTATGCGTATGTGTTTGTCCGATGATGATGTGCCCACGTAACAATCTAACTGAATAAATAATTAAATATCACATATGTTAGCTGACACAGGCCACTGTATCCATACAGCCACCCCAACCCCAGAGATATTTCTTCCACAAAGGGAAATTAAAGATTGAATTGATAAAACAAAAACTAAATGCAAAAACAGATTAGCAAATTAATAACAGTAATTAAAATAAATATTTTCTGTGCACAGCCGGCAAAGAGAGTCGCATTCAGTATGTGAAAACAAATGTATTAATCAAAAGCACACAATAATTACACGAATGAAGGTGTTTATGCAGCTGGATTAAAAGGCTTATGATTCAGATTGGATAGAGACATTTCAAAATGGCAGACTTACTGGATCAATGGGACTTTATCAATCATAATAATGATGCAGGCTTAACATAGAGGGCCCGGCTAATTAAATGAGACTAGAAGCTGTTTTATGTGCCGAAAATAAACAAGGTAAAGTGTTTCTGTCACGGTTACAGCACTGGTGCAGATAATCTTTTAAATACAGTATTGTATCTTATTAAAACTGTATTTAATTGAATTACCAGCAGCTGTTTCCTCATAGTGAATAACTTCAGATTTCACTTCTGCAGGGTCTGATTCTTAGACCATTTTCTGTTCACATTATCATTCCTTCTTGTCATTCGGCTCCAGATTAAACTTTAATTTACTGTGCACTTTAGCTCTAGCTCTTAGTCTAAAAGTACACAGTGAACTCATGAATATAGATACACAATATAAAAAGGCTCCTAATCAATACTTGCATGAAAACATGGTTTGAACTCTCTGTTCTGTTCTGCTGCTGTTGAGCTTTGGAGGCTGAGGGACATCGGTCCTGCAGCCCAGACATGTGACAGAGTTGTCACTTGGTTCAGTAAGCCCAAGAGAGAGGCCAGCACTTATCTAAGGGCAGCACGGGTGCCCATGGCAACAACCGAGGTGTGATGTCACTGGTTGGCAGAGCATGTGTTCACGAGTGACTACGTCCAGACACTGCCCCTTTAAATGTGACATACACTTTGAGATGTATTATCGTCTCACGGCTCTGACATTCTCTTCTTTGGACTCTTGTGCTCGGACGACTTTGACGCGCCCCTCCTTTGACGCGCCCCTTCTTTGACATCTGAACGATTACACTTGAGGTCATTTACTCCCCCTGCACAAAAACTGCGATCGTTCCTGACTTTGTTTGTCAGAAAATTATTTTCTCCGAAGCTTAAAGTCAGCGATGAGATGGCTGATGTGGATCAGTGATATTTTTCTAAAAGCCGCCGTGTCAGAAAAGCCTCTTTGAGTCTAATTCCCTAGTTAAAGGTATTAGTCATCAAGGTTCGGTGAACTTACTCAGGAATCCTCCGAACTGTCACTTACAGCAAATCAGACAGCCGTGGTCTTTCTCTCTCTGCTTTTTGGTTTTACAGTTTCTTTCCCCAGAACATCCGTCACCCATACGAATGACATTGATTTTAAAAGGAGGGAAACTCTCCCTGTCACCCCTTACAGATCAGAGCTGACATCAAATTAGTGAAGTTTCACAGGGCCGTTATCCCATTGTATTTCACAATTCTATATTTATACCACTTTGCCATTAAATATTTCTACTCAATTAATTTTCCTCTGCATGTAATGAGGCAACACTTGGCCCCGCAAGGCGCCATTTGGGAGGTAGCACTTGGCTAACCGTTTCCCTTTGTTCTACTGAAATAGGGCTTCAGCCTCCCTGGAAGTGAAAATGGATCACAGTCTTTCGCCTACGATCAGATATTTGGCTTCTTAGACACTACAGATCTGTGGATACACTAATAGGCTTCTTGGGGTTTGCAAAGAGCCGGTATCGGTGGCGCTGCTATGCTTAGAGAGATATACTTAGAAAAATACATTAGGACTTATCGATTACTCATGAAAATCAATCACGTGTGAGGGTATAAGTGGCCGAGGATAAAGATTGGTTGGGGTAATGCAAAGGGACAGAAATGCTCAGTCACATTCTGCAGGATTAGAAGAGGGTCGGACACCTCGTCAGAAGGTGCATCAGCTTGAGTAGTTACCCAGCAGTATTGTAGAGTTGATAGAAGTCATTGTTATGAATCTTCTTTCCCCCCCCCCCCCCACCAGGCACCTCCGTGATTCAGGTGACAGCCGCAGACGCCGACGACGCCACCTACGGGAACAGCGCCCGCGTGGTGTACAGCATCCTGGAGGGCCAGCCATACTTCTCTGTGGACCCAGAAACCGGTCAGTAGGAAAAAACAACTCACAAATACTCGTATTCAGCTCCCGGGTCATACTTTGTGTTTATTCCTCCAAGTTTGATGTAGAAAAAGAAATGGCTTTGCTCAAGGACTTTTGAGAAATGTGTATCCTGAAGAAAAAAGCATTTACGTCTTCGAATAAAGTATAACTAAAGCTTTTAGATGCTTCAAAATGGATGTTCTTTGGAATCGACTTTAATTTGGAATCCGGTTAAAAGAATGCTATTTTATTTATATGTGTTAGAAACACTACGGACACAAAAATGACCCATTCACTTTTATGTCTGTGCATTATTGAGATATGTACAGCTCCGGAGCAATACCATTTGATTTCAGAAATATATCAAAACAACTAAATCAAGTTTTGTTTGTTAGTCCTTCGGAATCCAAAGGCTAAAAAAATGTATTGTGAGTATAAATCCAGAAAAGAAAAGTCAAAGATTATACTGTCTCCCCACCAAGTTTAGCCTCAGTAGAACAGCATTCACTGCGGCCGTGCTTTCTGAATAATGTGCACAACTCTTCAGTATGTCTTCAGTAGAAAAGCTCTTATCCTCGCTGTAACAAGGCAACTGCCATTGCACTCTCCACCCGCATATGTAACCCACACCTTTACACCCTTTCATCTGGAGGTGGCCATTCTGCTAAAAACAGAACAAATCACTAACTGACACAGGAATAGAGGAGGCAAGCTGAGCTTTACCAAGAAAGAAAATTAAAACAATTTATCAGAAAATAACTCCTGGAAGGCTGTGAATTCTCCTTGAACTGAACCAAAAATACCAACACGTCTGCCTCCTCTCGCTGGCTGACAGGCGGGGGGGGGGATTTATAGTGTGAGTGGCAAATCACCAACCCCGAAAATGTAGCCGCTTGCTAGTTTTAATCATTAATGTACGCTTTGGAACACATCCCGTCTTTTTTGCTTAAACAAAAGGGAAACGACAAAAAAGGCATTTGCAGATTAGCGCGGGGATTAACAGTAATATGGTTTATCCCACATGTGGAATGTAAGCTGACATTCCCTTTTACACAAAGACATGCCTGGACATTACATTATAAGCAGGATTTGTTTCTCTTCTCCTCCTCGGTGTGTGTGCATTGTAGTCATTAGGCAGTAACAAAGGTAGAGCACACGCTTGCTTCCTTTCCTCGACGATCGCTTTTCTCGTAACACCGTGTTGTCCGTGAGATAAATTGCACATCATTAGGAAGAAGAATGGAAAAAAAGTTGAAGGGCCTTTTAAACAGCGTAGGCCAGTCTGATCTCAGTTTGAATGATGCACCACGTCTGTTTGATATGCAATGAATCATCAATTCAGAAAGTGATGAAGTTTGCAAATTAGTTTATTTAGGGTGAGGTTTAATTGTTTGTTTTACTTTACTCCCACTGAACCTCATCTGTCTGCCTCTCTCCCTCCACCTGCTTCTTTTTCATGCTGCTCCTAATTCCAACATGTAATAGAAGACATGATTTAAGACCGCCTCTGATGGGAGACGCAGCACACCTTTTGAATATGCTGCCAATTACTGCTTTACCCAGTCTCTGTCCTGACTCCAAACTAGACATCTAACATGTCAGAGCGCAGGAGTAAGCAACTTCAAGGCATTTAAAAGGCGGAATACTAACCGAGCCTTAATTCCAAAGGGGAGAGAAATGATGCTGAATGCATTTGGAGGCGAATGTTACGCACATTGGAGATTTAAAGGAATAAGCTGTGGTTTTGGCCCTTTGGTCCACTTACCAGTTAAATCACGAGAACACAGACTCCACAATGTGCTCCTGTGTGACCGCAGAGCTCACTTCCGCCGCGCCTCCTCGGCAAGAGAACTGACCTCTCTGTAATAAAATGTTCCTAGTGGTTTAATTATCTAGCCTGTAGATGCATAAATCTAAAAAATGAAATGTCATTTATTTAATATAGCTGATGCAGCCGGGCTTTTTTCCAGGCAAATACAGTGATCTTTGATACGCAGTCCACCTGTGGAGGAATATCATTATTTTTATGTCATAATAGTTGTTTGATTCGGAAAGGTTGAACCTGTCAGACTTGGATAGTTTGATGGTGACTTTAAGGCTGTGTATTTGCTCTGTTCAATATCATAGCTGCATTCACATAACATTATGAAAACATACCATGATATTTTAATAAGAATCAGTTTGAAGTGATATTGACCCATATGTTATGTTCCCGCTCACCCAAAATATATTTTTGCTGCCGCAGAGGACATTGTTGACCGCAGCTGAAGGGTCAGTGAGTTCACAGGTCCTCTTGTGCTGAGCGCACCTCAGAAAATGCATTCAGTTATATAAAGTGACTAAAACGGCAAATGAGGGGCTGGTGATGCATCAGAGTCTCTTTCAACTTCTAAGCAAAAGTGTTTAAAAGTTTCGTCCTGCAATTTTAATCAAGATCAGCTTTTTGTCATTTATAACAATCAAATTAAACATTGAAAAATGCGTTAAGGGCTGCAACTAATGATTATTTTCATTATGCATTAGTCTGTTGATTAACGTCTTGATTGCTTGACTACTAATTTTGTAAATAAAATGTCTAAGAATTGTGAAAAATGCCTTTGAGCCTCGGTTAATCCACCCAAAATATATTCAGTTTGATATCATGTACGCAAAGCAGCAAAGTCTTACATTTGAAATGCTGAATCAGCAGAATATTGACTGTTAAAGCTTTTCTATATAATACCGTTTTTATTTGATCTGAAACAGAAATTCAAGGGTTGTGATTGAGGGCTGTATACATGGACTTGACTTATTAGAATCTGTGCATTTCTCCTCAGGCCTGATCAAGACCGCCCTCCCTGGCATGGACAGAGAAGTGAAGGAAAACTACCAGGTTGTGATCCAGGCTAAGGACATGGCGGGGCAGATGGGGGGGCTCTCCGGCACCACCACGGTCAGCATCACGCTCGCAGACGTGAACGACAACCCGCCGCGCTTCGCTAAGAGTGAGTACAGGCCTTCTGGAACCCCCCCCCACACACACACACACACACACACACACACACACACACACACACACACACAGAGTGACCAATACTCAGCCCATGAAAACCACTTGTCACTGGGAGCCGGTGCCAGGCAGGCAGCCCCCATCTGGTGTCAGTTTCAAATGAATTTGGATTATTGCAGGGAGTTTTGTGCGACTAAGGCGGGCCTCTTAAAGGCAGCGAATAATTAAATATAGAGCCACATGACAGAGCGAGGGGTCCTGCAAAGTGCATCAGATCCGCCCTGTAATCCCTATTAAATGAAGAGAGTACGTTCACTGGCCTTTATCTCCCCTACTCTTCCTCTCTTTGTCTATCTTGTGCTGCCTTTAACTCCATAAAACCAATGTTCTCATTTCAGTGCTTCACCTCTCCTTGGTGAATTACCCCCCCTCCCCTCTTTTTGTAACCCTCTCACTCATCAATCATCAATTCTCCCTTTCTGCTCCCTTCCTACTCACTTTCAGTCTCGCACATTGTCTCCCTTTCTTCTCCCTCCTCCCACCCGTCTCACTTCCTCTTGTGCATCTGGCAAACGGGGAAGGCAGCCAGATCAGATTGACAGATTACTGGTGTCGTCGTGTTTCCCCTCAGTAACAGCAAGCTCACTGTGCACTGTACAGTGGGCGAAGCGAGGCAAACACACGACCGCAGAACTCCCGCCGTCCCCGCATTTATCACTCCCTCCTTCCACCAGCTTGAGGGGAGGGAAAAGGGGGGGGGGGAGACAGACGCTGTCATCTCTGCCCCTGCGCCAATGAATGAACAGTGAGAGGAGGGAAGGAGGGAAGGAGGGAAGGAGGGAGATGGATACGACAGGGATGGAGGAGGTGACAGGAGGGGAAGATAGAAGAAGAAAGAAGAAGAGTGATGCAGGCGACAGAAAGACAGCCTGTGATGGAGGAAGGGGGGGGGGCAGACAGAGGGGAAGATTGAAAGAGGGAGAAAGAGGAAGAGATATTGTAATGGGACACCCAGAGGAGGTGGAGTGTCAGGAAGNACATCTGGAGCAGCGGGGAGCAGAGAGGAAAGAAACGGTCTGTAAAAAGGGAGAAGGGTTGTGAAGGGGACACCCAGAGGAGGTGGAGTGTCAGGAAGCGATATCATTGTTGTCTGCCGGAGTGATGCCTCTTCTTTTCCACCCAATGCTAAATACCTGTTAGCCTAGGGAAGCCTCCTAGTAGTGCCTCGCTTTCTGTGTGTGTGTGTGTGTGTGTGTGTGTGTGTGTGTGTGTGTGTGTGTGTGTGTGTGTGTGTGTGTGTGTGTGTGTGTGTGTGTGTGNCCCCCCCCTTATGTGTGGGGGGGCTCAACTTCCAACAGGAGTCATTTGGGGGGACTCTTGGGAAAAAAGGTTGGGAACCACTGCTCTAGGGGGTCCTCACCTCTTCTAGGGGGGTCCGGGGACATGCTCCCCCGGGAAGATTTTTTTTTTTAATATTGAAGTTAAAAACATCAATCTGGCGCACTTCGAGAGCAACATTAAGAGATCTATGGATCTATGTGCTCATTGCTTGATTCATGCCTTCCCAGTCCCTTATCACGTACAAGAGCATGGCGTCAGTTGTTGTAGCCAGTTGTGGTGAAGGCATCTGACTTACTTGAACCGAAATGTCTACATGCATAGCAGAAGATGGCATCTTTTTTACATGAATATTCCAAAACCATGAGCTGCAAAATGAGCGCCCTACCCCACTGTACAGGCGAGTTGGGTGCTTTTTTAAATATACCTGGGCAAGCTCTGTTTTGCCGAGATCCTCTGGCACTTGCGGGTCGCCGAGGGGTGGCGGTGTTTGGGGCAACGAAGACGGCTGCGGCTGCTCCGCCTCTGTGGGCGAGGCGGGCAAAGCCGGTGTTGTGTCAAATGATGTACCCCCGTCGTGAAATGCACCCCCTGGCCTGCCGTAAAAAGCGCCCCCCCAAAAAAAGATGCTACTATTAATCCCACCCTCAAGCACTTTGGAGGGTATATTTGTAGGACTAGTACCAATAAATGGAGCAAGTTTCATGCATGTGACACGTTTATTGTCAGAGATAGCAAGGGGTGCATATCGTGGCAACCACGCTGTTCATAAAAAGCACCACCCAAAATAAAAAAAATTATATTAATCCCACCCTCAAGCACTTGATGTAAAAATAAACAATACATTGTAAAGCACAAGTAGCCTAGACAGACAGGATGTCACAATTAAATAAAAACATTTATTAAATAAAAAATTAACTGAAAAATAAGTGACGAATTAATGCAAAATCCAGGATTCGACAACCCAACCATAAAAAAGACAACATAGATTAGCGGACTATACGTTCAAATGCGCGTTCCTGTGTCAAGGGGTGCATTTCACGACGGGGGTGCATAATTTGACACGACACCGGCAATTTCTACCGGAGCCTCCGCCATGGAGCATCGGCACTGCTGTTAATCAACAGTATCTAGCGGCCCGCGCATATGATTATATAATCAGTTAAAAAATTATAACACATAATGAGAGACGTTCTGCAGTCAGGAGTTTTCACAGACGACAGGTGGCTCTGACTTTTATGTATAATTGACGGAGTATTTTTACTGTTACGACACTGTTCAACACTTCATTCTGCTTCACTCTTTAACTAAACAACCGCGGATGTCTTCAAAATCTTTAGCGAAAGAGTCTTTCGTTGAAGATTTTAAAGACATCCGCGTTCTTGTGACGCGTAAATACTACACTTCCTATGTTTTGGTGCTACTGCGTTCACACCAGCGATGAACCACTTCAGAGTTCACTAGCAAGCGCTCCGAGACCACCTCTTTTGGGCGGACCAGAGTCCGGTTGTTTAGTTCACTTCAGAGGTCTCGGACTGCGTTCACACCGACCCAAACGAACCGCACCAAGCGGCTAAACGCACCAGGGTTCGATTCAACCGGACTATACGAGGCGGCTGGTGTGAATGCGACCTACACTCCCTTTGCAAAAAAAAACTCAAGCTGAATGTCATAAAGGTGTGTTCTCCTATACTTATTTAAACAGTGCATTTATGTATTTGCACTCTCAGATCACCATAATAACTGAGGCCACTGGCTTAAACATTTTTTATAATAATAATATATATAATTGATTTTTAATATATTTATTTTATTTTGTTGTATTTATTTATTAAGTATAAGTAGGTACATTCTTAAGGATACATGTATATGATTATTAGGACGTGTTTAGAAATATTTACACATGACAATCAGGGAAGAAAGAGCTGTGTACATAATTATAAGCAATAAGGCTGTTATTAAACATTTGTGAGAAATCAAGAGTCCTTGGGAAAATTACCAGCCCCAAAGAGCAAACAATGTTTGCTTAATTCTATCCAACGTTTGTGAATATGAATTGGCCGAGCTGTAGTTTAAAAATGAACAGATAACCAAACTTATTACCAAAAATAAGAAGGAAAAAAGAGAAGTAAATAGGAGGAAGGCTTGTAATGTCGAGCCTCTGTCAAATCTGGTGAAGCTTGGTTTAGGTGTGACATACGGTGTGTCCATTGATAGCAAATTAACTTAATTCATCTTCAGTTTAAAATATTTACTTGTGTTTTGGGGGAGATTAAACCATGACACGTGTGGTATTTTAATAAAGAAATGCATGACAACTGGTAAGATACATTTGGGGTTTTTTCACTTTATAATAAAAAAAGTTCTGAATGGTTGGTATGAAGATTAGCTAAAGTATTGACAAAGTGTAAAAAAAATGTGTCCAACCCAGGGTATATGACGTATCTCTCCCGCTATCATACTGCAAGCACTATCTGTGCACTATTATGTTTTATGAATGCACTTCATGTGCAACAACTAAGGCATACATAATAATTCAGCAAAAAGCTAAATATGCTCTCTTCTGATTATTACTGACATCACTGCGTACCCATCTGCATCATCAAAACAAAATGTGTTTTTTTCCCCCGGTATGCACTCTTGCCAAATTATTTGAATTTCATAATATATCCTTGCTTTTTCCTCTGGCACTGATCATGCTGTAAACCCTCTGATAGCTGCCTAACAAACCTAATGGTACTTTATGGTTCCTATGCCAACATGTGTGTAACCAGGGAGCTAATTATCCATCTCTTTATATCTTCCTCATCTTGTATTTTTTCTACATACTTTATGGATAAACCAAAGTATATGCACTGCTAAACATAACAGTGCATTCCATACCACCAAACCCAGTTAATAACATCCATTTTGAATATTCAGCGTTCACAATGATAAGTACCTATTACAGAAAGACACCAACTGTTCGGTAAAGTACTTAATTTCCGTATGAATTTGTCTAAATCATGCAGATGTAGGTAGATAATACCCACCTCCATGGGTTCAATAGAGGCTCAACTCTGGCATTTGACTTTTCAAAGCAGTTGATTATCAGACGCTGTGACATTTTGGTGGAAATGGGAGGGGATTCTGAGGAGAGGCTGCGTTAAGCAAAGTTCAATCCCAGTGTTCTATCCAAGTGCATGTGCTATCGCAGCTGATAGGCAGGTGTGATAATGAGCCATTCTTCACGCTGAAATGTTCTCACGTCTTACATTACTTACACCAGCGCCTTGATGTTACAGTGAAGACCAACTCTTTTTACCATCATTTTAAAAGCAATGGAAAGGACAGATATCTGAAGGTGAGCTCCCTAATTCTTGCCTTCTTTAACAGTCAGTTGTCAGACACTATCCATCCATATGAGACAAATCGGCTCCTCCATTTATATCAAGTGCCAACGTAAGTGAGTTTTTGTGGAAACGTTTAAACTAAGCAGGCATTCAGACTTTAAAAAAGAGTAACTCAGAGAAGAGTGTTGGTGAGGGGATGTTGTGTTGTTATGCAGCAAAAGTTTAGCCAGGTTCTTTTTTTATTCTTTGGAGCTCATGTCAGTCTGAAAGCATCTGCATTCACATAGAAGTAGCATGGCTCTGCACCATGGAGATCTTCAATTCACTTTTCTATATTTGTAATCCAAGTGGCAACTTCAAGTCCTGAAAAGTGATCCTATGGAAGTGCCATAAACCTGCATTTCTGTAATGGCCAGAGCAGTCCTCGAGACTTAAATGGAAGTCTAGAAGAGTTTTCACTTTCTATCTTAGTAAACATTTTCCTGATGAGTTATTGCTAGATTAAAGTCTTCTTCAATAGAGCTCTTTCATTTGACCACTTCAACAACAGTTTTTGTGTTTGTGGTTATAAGCCTTGAAAAAGGTTCTGCTTTTCTGCCTAAGACTAAGATACATCAGTAAATTCACCACTTGAGACTGTCCAAAGCTACTATAATATGCAGCTAACAAGGGATAAAATGAGACAAGGAAACAACATCATGCTTGCACAAGTCTGCCTTTAGCTTAGCGGTGGTGACGTGCAGCCATGCGACCTTGATGTAGTTTGTTTATAGCCTGATGTTGGCTTTTTACTACTGGAGATTGACATTTATGCTTCAAAAATCGCAAAGTGGTGTTAATCCTGAGATAATCCTGCTGAGCAAAACATATTGAGTATCATACACATGTGTTGGCTTTACAGCAGTTATCTGTACCGAAATCCAACAGGGATATATCCCATTACTTGTTGTCGAGGGAGCCATTAGGATGCTAACGATGTTCCCATTTAGAGTCAAATCGATGTTATAGCAGGGCAGCTACCTTTTGATTGGCATGTTGCTACCACTGTGTTGTCTTGTTTAATCCTAATAGCTGAACCCTTTATTAGATGATCTAAAGCAGGGGTGTCAAACTCAAGGCCCGGGGGCCAAATCCGGCCTGCAACTTAATTTAATGCGGCCCCACAAGAGCTTGCAAAGAATATAACATGTTTATTATATGGTTACATGCTACTTTACAAAAGCAC